TATTGGTACCTGAAACAAAAAAAAAAAAAGTTTTCCTTTTTGCCACAGGGTTTCTCTGTGTAGCTTTGGAGCCTGTCCTGGAACTCACTGTAGACCAGGCTGGCCTCAAATTCAGAGATCCACCTGCCTCTGCCTCCCGAGTGCTGAGATTAAAAGCAACACTACCACCACCCGGCTTTACTTTACACTTTTGACATGAATTAAATGCATTTAAGTGTTTGTAACTAGGCAGGTGGAGCACCTGTTCTGTTCCCATAACATGGGTTGTTTGTTTAAATCGGGCAAGGGATGGTACCACACACTTAATTCCAGCACTTTACAGTTTCTTGTTAAGGAACTCAGTTAATGTGATAACACTTATTTGAAAAGAAATATTCTATACAACTGAGCATACCAAAGCATTGGCAATAGCACAAGGTTAACAGGAATGTTAAAGGAATAACTTGGGAGTTTCTTACAGTGTAACACTGAATGTATAACTCAGTGTTCCTACAAAATGAATGCAGGGAGGACCAGCAAGATTTGCCCTGCAAACCTGACAGTCCGGTTTTGATCCTGGAGCCCTTGGTGGAAGAGAGATTCCTGGCAGTTGTCCTCTGACCTGCACATGCATGCTGTGCAGACTCTCAAACCGCATGATTCATACTGCAGCATTCTAATGTGATTTCATAGAAAGCGAAACTAGAAACACAAATCAGTGATTCTTGAGATGGAATGACAAAATTAAGCAAAGTCACCTTTACCTAGTGTTGGAAATATCCTATATCTTAATTATATTTAGCAAAGGATGAATCTGGGAAGTTCATAAAGGTTTTGCTGTATTTTACCATACCACAATAAGCTAGACTTAAAAGCTTCATTATATGGGAACTAAGGAAACGAAAGCCATTGTTCTTTCAAATCAGCTAGGTAGCTGTGGTCCACCTGGGATCCATTTTATTAGAGTCCTAGGTACAGTGGATAATTTGTTTTTTAAATTAGTAAACCTTGCTTTATATTTTATCCAAAGATACACTAGATATTGTATCTTTGGGGGGAGGTCTCACTATGCTTCCTTGCTTACCTTTGCTTCTTGAGTTAAAAGTGTGTACTGCAGCTGGTTGGTGGTGGTGCACGCCTTTAATCCCAGTACTCAGGAGGCAGAGGCTCTCTAAGTTCGAGGCCAGGCTAATCTAGAGTGAATTCCAGGGCAGGCACCAAAGCTACAGCGAAACCTTGTCTCCAAAAAACCAGAAACAAAAACAAAAAGTCCAGTTCTTTTCTCAGTAAAAAAACCCAGACAGCATTTTATGACCACTACCAAGGACTATCACAAAGATGTGTATTATTGTGTATATATAAGTTACATGTATATAGTCAGAGACAAATGTGTGCTTTGAGAACCGGAAGACATAAATTATAGCAAACATGAAAGGGATCTAGGAGTTTCTGGAACACTTGTTAGATGAGCTTTCCAATGAGTGAAATTCAGAATAGGCACAAATTCCAATAATAAATGGTAAAAACTTCTGAGATGATACTTAAAGTAGACTAAATTATCTTTTTTTTTTTTTTGGGAGGGGGTAATCTTGACAGGATGGCCTCCTCTTCTCCTCCTACATGTTAGATACAGGTATGAGCCCTGCCTGTATGACATATATACAAGAACACAAAACCAAGACTAAGATGAGGGAAATGCATGCTTTTCAAACTGGTTCTGAGACCACCAACTTTAGAATTCTCTACAGACCCGAGTTCATCTATCTTCGCCTTGGCAATCTTTATTTTGAATAAATACCTGATATAATTCTTTTTTTGAACACACCGGTATTTGAGACCCACTGATATCTGTGTCTCTGAGTTTGAGTTTAACAGAAATTATTTTAGTATAGGCTTAATATAAGGAAGTACTAGAATTGAGATTAGTAGGATTTAGACTCCTCATTAAGTCATTGTTATAGAATATTTGATTTGCCTTTTTATTGCTGCTGCTGTGTTCCAGGAACTAGGGGTACTCCTTCATGCTCTCTAGTACTAGGATGGCAGGTCTGTATTACAAAGGGGAGCTCAGCATCACAGTAGAAGAGGACAACAGAAAATGCTTTACAGATAATGCTTTTTATTATTAAGTAAACAGTAGGGGATGGTGGATATTTGGGAAAATAACCTTCATGTAATTTTATGAGAAATATATTTCATAAGTAAGAATACATAAGTAACTAGAAAAAAGGGAGACGTATCTAGAAGAAAAGAGTTCAAATATTTAGATTCAACTTAGGCATCCAAAGAGGGTACCACAAGGGTGTTAAGGGAACATTTCAACATGAAGGTGGACAGGAGGCCAGGGAACAATAAGGAGGAAATTACATTATTGTTCATTAATGGTGAGGGACTTAAAAAGTACCTTTTTTTTTTTTTTTTTTTTTGGTTTTTCGAGACAGGGTTTCTCTGTAGCTTTGGAGCCTGTCCTGGAACTCCCTTTGTAGACCAGGCTGGCCTCGAACTCACAGAGATCCTCCTGCCTCTGCCTCCCAAGTGCTGGGATTAAAGGCGTGCGCCACCACCGCCCAGCAAAAAGTACTTTTTAAAATTGATAAGCTACGTAGATAACATTTTGGCTTAAAGCAGACCAGTTTAATTTGGTCTAAGAAAATTTTTTAAGAAGCTTGGGTCCCCTACTGTAGAAGAATGTGTTTCCGGAGAGCAATCAGAGTTTGGTTTGCAGTATAAGTTAGGCTCTATTAACAAGTAGCTTGGTAGGCAACTTTAGGGTTAAGGAGTGACAAATAACAGGTCTGCAACTCACTATGTCAGTTGCAAATGAACTTCACAATGACTTGACAGTGACTCACATTCAAAAGACAGCCCAGACTTAAAATGTAGCCATTTGCATTCTAACTAACCTATGAACTTTGACTTGTACCTGCTCTAAGTGGAGAAAATGTGACAGAATGCAGCACTTACCAGTTTATGGACATCCACTAAAATAACACAGATCCTTCCAGGGAAACCCAATTCATTCCCAAACTCAAAACCTTCAATAGGGAAGCCTAAAGGGCTGGCAAGTCATACACTAGAAACTGACAACAAAGACAACAAAAAGTTTCTATTCCCTCCTGGCAGTCTCATGACAAAGTCAAATGAAGCTTTCTGAAAAAACTTTGTTGGAGAAATAAAGTGCTATCCCCTTCCATCCCCCAGATATGTGGATGTCTTCCAAGAGAACTTCAGAAGTTTTAAATGTGAAGCCCAACTAGCTTACCCTAAAATCCATTCTTTTCCCTAAATGGAAACTGACAAAACAGGAAGTACACAGTGGCAAAGAGAAGCAAAATTTGTGGCTGAGATATTTACTGGGAACAGCCTAGTTCTTTCTGACCGTGATAAAATGCAGAACTTCAAACTTGGGAGAAAACCAGCAAATTTGGTTTCAGTATCATGACACAGAAGAAACAGGAAGACAGCTTCATTACATAAAATCCCCTTCCCTGCACCCTGACCAAAACAGTACCAGAGCCATCAAAGTATACAGACACTGGACGCACCTTATAATGTTACATAGAAAATAACATTTTTGAAAGTTAAAAGGCCAGGTGGTGGTGGCGCCTTTAATCCCAGCACTTGGAAGGCAGACAGATCTCTGTGAGTTCAAGGTCAGCTGGTCTACAGAATGAGTTTCAGGACAGCCAGGGCCACACAGAGAAACCCTTGAAGTTCCTAAAGTAAAAATAAATATAATAGAACTACATTTGGTTTGAGGGAAATTTTTTTTTCTTGGTGATTACTGAAGTATCAGATAACTAAATATAAATCTGTAAGTTGCCTCTTAGCATTGGTGATTCAGGAACATATCAAACATACCAAAAACCCAAGAGACTGACTCTCATGAATTCTTCTCCTACTGCTATATAAACAATTATAGGCCTTTCTAGGTGCAACTGATTTGTATCTCAATTTTGAAGCTACAACACTTGAAACTGGGTAGTAGTTGTGTATAGCTTTATTTAGTAAGGCACTTTATTTAGTAAGGGCTTACTAGATGCCTTTAAAGGCTCCTGGTTGAGATTTTCCCCACAGCAGTGGCTAAGAACCTTGAAGATCTTTGCAGAATAGTAGTATTGGTTGGGCCCCTGTGCTTTTAAACCTGAATGCATGAAGTTAAAGAGGCAGCTCTGGAATGGTTTCCAGTGAGAGACCCTAGTAGCCTCGGGAATATATGGCCTCAGATGGAGTTTCAGCTGCTGCAGGAGTGGATGGTGCAGGTGCTGATGGCACTCTGACAAGGGGCACAACTCTTTAGAACAGGCTTCTCAGGTTCTGGTCTGCATTTTATCTTTGCTAGTCTGCTTTTTATAATTTTCCTCTAATCAGGCCTGCCATCACTAAATCGTAAAGAACTGCATACGTCTAGCCAACAGGGAACGGGTACCAAATCCCTATAACAACTCTGAACACATGAGAAGAGCAGGGAAGGAAAGAGGATGAACCTTTTCTCTATTCATTACTAGCCACACCCTCTTGGGGATGCTTTAAGTTCCTTAGTCTTAGAGGATCAGAGCTAGATATCTCAGCATTGGGACACCAGTAAGGCCATCCTAGTCTGAGGACTGCAGGCAACTGGAGCTACTGCTTTGGCCTGTGTGGCAAGTTCCTCGTCCAATTCATCCAAACATACTCACACATTAACAGCCCACCATGCTACTGTAGAAGTCCAATCTGTATGAACTACTTGGGCAAGTCCTGGGGTTCCAGGAAGTGGTCAGGCCCCTCTTCTGGTTCCTGGGACTTACCAGGTTTTGATGTACACCAGGGGTCTCTGCCCTGGCACAACAGGATGGACACCATGACTCACACCCTGGTGAAAAGGGAGGTGAAATAATCATCACCAAATCCCAGCCAGAACCACCAAGAAATGTGGGATTATGAACAAAGAGACGGGACACGAAGGCATCTTCAGTTAAACAGTTTTTATTTGTGGTTGCACAGATTAGACTGAACTGTTTACAGTCTTTTGCATGATATTTGTTTCTTTGCCTCCCATATGTGGCAACATATAATTTCATTGGCTATTTTAAAACCATAGGAGACTCTGAAAGAGTTAGACTGTAGAGGAAGCAAGGGCTAACGTACAAGTCACACACAGGTATTTTGGCAGAGACCACAGGGTGGTCTCCTTGTGCTTCCTCCAAGCTCTACGGGAAGGCTAGCTAGCAAGTGCTAAGAATAAGTGACTGTAGAGTGCTCAGCTCTGACAGCACATTCACAGAAGAGGCAGAAGGAATGTAAGCGCCAGAGGAAGCCAAGAGATAATGGAACACTGACCTGGCTGTTGTACCCTTGAACTCATGATAGCTAAGATTATCTGTACTCAATATCTGAACAGGATTGGGTCTGTCAACATCCTGTTAAGGGAGAGAGGGTCTCGTGGGGTCTAGTTCCTCCCTGAGTATTTATAGAGTTAACACCTCATAGAGGGAGAAACATTTTCTTCAGGAGTGTACAGTCACTGGTAGGGTGCCCATATACTTGTCAGCAAAGCCAAGGAAACTTACTGAATGGGAGAGGAAAAACCCTTGACCGCAGAGGGCAAATGCTCCATAGGATTCTCCTGTGCAGCTGAGTCTTATAACTCTGACATCACAGGCCTCCTCACTTTCCCGACCTTGTCTTTTGCCAGGCATCCTTTCCCAACTGGTCTACCATCTGAAACAGCTTTTCTCAATCACTCTTGCTCACAATCTCCCACTTAACTAGCCCCAGATCCTGCTTGCTTAAAGGAATGTTTCTTCAATGTCTCTGGAGCTGACTGTATACTGTATACTGAACCTCCACTGATCTTTCTTTCACCAGGAGCCATTATTTAAATCTTTAACAATAACCAGCTGGGCATGATGGTGCACACCTTTCATCTCAGCACTCAGAAGGCTGCGGCAGTTCCAGGACATCCAGGGTTACAGACAAATAATGTCTCGAAAAACAAAAAAAGAAAAAACTCTAATTGTTTAAATCTTTTGAAGTATTCAGATTACCTCTTCATGTTTAATTATGTTATTTATTTTATTTACACTAAGCTTCCTAGGGATAGCTCTTTGGAGAAATGTCATTAAGTAACCCAGATCTGCTTTAATCCCTACCCTGCAATATGCTGTCATTCTAGTTTGAACTGCTTGTGAATGAAAACTCTCATTCATGTGGTCATAAAACCAACAGCAAAGTCCAACAGGGCAAAAGATCATCCATGTAGATTCTAGAAAGAATGCTTTAAAATTACCAACAATAGCACCTGTTCTGGCTTTTCAGCCTAGAGCCTTGTGTATGTAAAGCATTCTTACAATTAATACTGACATTCCTGGTGCCCAAAATAAAAGTCTGATTAAAATTATGTAATCCCCTCCAAAACTCAATCTTTTGGGAAGCAGCTATATTCAACCCAGTTGAATCAAATCTACTTCTCAACATATACAAATAACTGTCTTCTAAAAAGTTACACAAGTACACACACGCATACACATATAACATGGCCAACCTCATTCACTTAAAGATGAAGTAAAATTACAAACCAGAACCAGAACTTTTCAGCACAAGTAACAAATCCTAGGTCTTCTAGAGCCGAAGCACCTGGGTTTTCCCCACAAAAGTCAGGGTCATTCTGAAAGACAAAGATTGCATTTTGAGCATGTTTCACCTTCGACCCAGAACATACAGTTATTTTAAAAATTATTTTGCCTATGAACTCTCTTCACCAATACAAACTTTCTACATCATGCTATTTTAAATGAAGAGTAAAAGAATCAAGCAAAACACACAATGTTCAGTGTCCTGTGATAAAAATATTAATTGAAAGTGGAAGCAAGGAATCACGGGGTATGCACAGGAATAGTTCCCACTACTTTGGATGCCGTGACAGGAGGTCTTCTGAGCCCTAGAATTTTGAGACTGGCCTCAGAAAAAAGTAAAACCCTATTGCAATTAAAAAAACAAAACCAAAAACCAACCAAACAAACAAAAAAACCAGCAATTGTAAGGACGTAAGTGGGCAAACAATAACTAAATATCCAGGGCCGAGGAGATGATTTTTCAGGAAGGGGCTGCTAAGCCTGATGACTGAGATTGAGCCATGGCGCCTACAAGGATGGAGATGGAGAGAACCCACTCTCCCAAAGCTGTCCTCTGACCACCCAGATACTATGGCACATACACACCATTCCCTGAAATAAATTCTTAAAAAGCATAAAAGCGTTCAGTAAGAATAGCACACAGGGCAGCTAATTACATTCTCACTGGAATCTCTAAATGTCTTTCAAATCAGTTTATCCAGAGTTATTTCATTTACACATGACACAACAATTCAGTAAAGGTCTAGGGCAAGCATGTTGATACATTCTTCTTTTGTTTTTCTTTCTGAGTCAAGATCTCATTAGGTAGCCTAGAATGGCCTCACGCCCTATCTCCAAAGTGCTCAACTACAGGGTTGCATTACCAGGCCCAGCTGATATATTCTTAAACTGGGTTTTCTCCATCTTCATACTGTGTGTGAAGTGTATGACTGCGAGAACATGAGGCACCGAGGTACAAAAAATGATGTCAGGGGCCTTTTGTATCACTGTCTACTGTGTGTGAAAGACAGGCTTTCTGACTAGAACTTAAAGCTCATTGACTGGCTACAGAGGCAGGCCATCAAGGCCTCAGGGATCATCCTGCCTAGTCACTGAGCAATGTAGTAACGGCATGCTCAACACACAGCTCTGTATCACTCACCCACTAGGCCATCTTCCCAGCCTCCAATCCATATAGTGTTAACAATCAAAAAACCAGTTAAATTGTAAGATTAAAAATTTGATCAAGAGAGGATGTGAAAACATTTTCAGAATTACTGTTAGATACAGTATCTTATTGTTCCATATATTTTGTATACAAATATACATACAATTTATGTTTATACACACGTACTAGGTATACAGCTGTTACCCCTAGCAAACAGCTAATGAGTGTCAAGAAAGTGGGTGAAAAGTATGTTAATGGTCCTATAAGGCTACCAGAGCCCCGAGAAGAACCTACTCTTTGTGTGGAAACATTAGGGAAGCCTCTAAGGTAGTAACTAGTTTTTGTATACCCTGTCAGTTTCTGGGCAGCAAAATGTTTAAATGCAGTAACACCTCATGTACTGTAAAATAAAAAATTAGAAACTTTTAGGGATTATTCTTATGGTCCAAGAAATAATTTCCAGTTTACTGTTTGTACAGCATGAAGATTACGACATTTGTAGGGATAACAACTGCAGAACTAGCTAGTAGGGAAGCTGAGGTGGGAAAGACTTCTGGGTCTAGGTAGGAGTACTGGGCCAGTTCAGGGAACAGAGGGAAATCTGGCCTAAGTAAGTAGGAATAAACAGAAGACTGCAGAGATTGTTTTGAGTTCTCACTTCTGAAAATCTATTCCAAAGAAGAGCCAGGGTTGTCAAAACCAAGAAACCTCAAAATTTTAGCCATTGCTATTAGTTTTTAGGCATTAACATTTTGTAAAACTCAAGGCTTGTCACTAGCTACCACAGAAAAAGAAACAGGAAAGCTCTCACAAATCAAGGTGCATCAGCTGACAGAACGTCTCACTGGAAGTCACCCGCCTGTCATGCTGCCCATGGGCCTGCATCCAGTCCCAGCACAAGCAAAACTTTAAGGCATGATTATGATTCATCTATCCCAGATATCCATGGAATGTGTTTTATAGGCAAACTACTTCTGAGGTTCCTAATTTTTTTCTTAATAAAAAGTAAGTAACAAGACGAACGCAACTGTATCTTTAAGAATAAAATCATTTAAAAAAATCATTCCGAATCCTATGAATACAGAATAAACTTTAATGATTTGGTGGAGAAACTACAAGAGATTTTTACTTTATTTATCATTAATTTTCAAATGCACAATGAAGTAAATCATGTATCTCTAAAACTGAATAGTGGAATTATCTGTGTGTGATTACCACCAGGGAGGAACAGAAGTACAAAACAGAATAACCACAACAGAAAACCAAAAACCTTCACTCCTAAACACTCACTAAAAGGATCTTTCTCAAAAGACTTTTCAAGAGAATATTCAGATTCTGACTTAAAGCCCTGAATGTTTTAAAGTCCGTTTTTAATAGCTGGGCAGTGACGCGGTTAGGCTGAGGCGAGATCAGGTCAAGGTCATCCTTGGCTACCTGGTTACTTCAAGGCCACGGCAAGATCCAGACCAGCTTGGAATACCGAAATCTTGTCTCAAAAAAACCAAAGTTCAGAAAGAACACCAGAAAAGGATGAACCTAAATACCTAGGATGGCTTTATCTCTGGATTTCATTCCGGTCTAACATCAGGAAGCTATATTAAACCAACTCCTTTGAAAGCCTGAACTAACAAAACCTTCCAACAACCACTCCTATTGTACATTTTTGTGGTAGTCTACAGAAAACCTTCTCAGCACACCCACTTTCCCAATTCACAAAAATTCAATATACATTAATAGTCACCTGTGGTACTCTGGGTTTTCGGGGAGGTGTCTGTTGTCTTCAGCATAACTCTAGAAGAACAGAAATCCTCAATGAATTGGTTACTCGCTCTAGTTTTGAACATCACCAAAAACAAGCAGTAAGACTTAAAACAGTCACGACTAGGGCACTTAGGAAAATGACCGAAATACACCTGACAGCCTTAATAAACTTGAGAAAAATGGGTCATCAATAAAAAGTTGATCTGGCTTTAGTTAAGATGTCCTTTATTGGTCAAATTTAGTGTGGTTAACATTTTAGCATACAAGCGATTACTAGTAATCCCAACAGTTAAATTTTTGTCTCATTTAACCAGACAAGGTGCTGACGAATAAGCCCACGTCTGTCGGGTCTGGAGAATCCTTTCATCTAAGAAAATTTCGGTCCTTCCAGAACCACTATTACTCAAAAAAACACAAACAAAAAACACCCAAAACCAAAAACCCATAGCACAGGGCTCATGTAGTGACAAGAGTCGCGTGTCGCAGCAGCAGCAACAGCAGCAGCAGCAGCGTCTGTCCTGGCAGGTACATTCCTCAGCATTCCGAAAGCCAGAGCTTCCACGTTTCCTCATAGTTTCAGAGTTGGAGGAAATACCTTTACCCCCCACGCAGGACGTTTCTAGAAACCACACCTCCTCCGTCTCAACCAGGAAGGCTGCCCTTGGGCCCCTGGTGACTAAAGACCGCGTGTCAGTTTTCAAACACATTTCAAAGGGAGGAAAAGCTTGTTCCGGGGGACGATGCCGGTCAACTTCGCCACCCGGAGAAACGGGGCGCAAAGGATTCAGCTCAGAAAGCCACACGTGTGCCCCGGCCTCGCCCCCTTCCTCCACCCCCCATCCCCGCTGCACCACCGGACAGATGCTCCCATGGCTGCCCTCATTTCCGGTGCTCCCGGAGCTGCGCCACCCCCGAGGCCACCGGACACCCTGGAACCTTCAATAAAAGACCTTTCGGAGGGCTTCGCGGCTCCATCACGCTTCGCTAGGCGTTGCTCTGGAGCGAATGGTAAGCCGGGGCCGTAGAGACAAAAACCTACCGGACAGAGTCCGCTTCCTCGCCTCCAGACACAGAAAATGGGATAGAGCTGCGGTCGCTGCTGCCGGGACAAAATGGCGCCGGGAAACCGGCTAAGCGCAGGCGCCTAGGGAAGACCCGGCTCCGCCCCCGAGCTAAGCCCTGGCTGCAGTTCTGGATTCCGTTTCCATGGGACACACCACCGCCCAATCCTCGTGCGGAACTGCTCTTCCTGACCCCTCTGTTCTCCAATCAGTGCTCAGTCAAGCACATCCGGAGTCGGCTCTTCCAATCACTTTTCCGGGCTCTCTTACTCAATCCCCTTTCCTCCAATAACGTGAACGTCCGAACACAGCCAATCAGAAGTGGACGATGTCCTACCTGCTGTTTTCCGCACCAATCATGGAAGTTTCACAGCCATATCCAATGAGAAAAGCAGACAGCGAGCTCCAATCCGAAGGTCTTCGGCGTCATGAGCAGCCAATAGGAGTTCGTGTAGAAGCGAGTCTGCTCAACAGCTTGTTATTTGGTGGATTGTGGCAGTAAATCGGGGCGAGTGGGGAACCCGGCGCAGGAACTGCCGCTGCGGCCGGGAGCGGTGCTTCCCGGACGGGGGCCCACGGCGGTCGGTAGGGCGGCGGACTGGAGAGCTGACAGCGCGCTGCACTCGCAGTAGGTGGGTGGGCAACGGGGCAGCGGGGGCCGCTGAATGGGCGAAGCGGCGGGAGCAGCTGCTGCCGTGATGGGGTCCCGGTGCAGTTGGGAGCTCCGCAGGCGGGGAGGGGGATGCAGGGCGGGCCGTGCCTAGAGTACCGGGCAGCGATCGGGTTCGGGAGCCGAGGCGGCAACTGCGGACACCGCCGCCTCGGTCGCCTCCCCGGGAAAATGGCTGTGGGGCTGGCCGCGCCGCTAAGTTTGCTCCAGGAGGAGCGGGCTGCCGGGGGGAACCGGCCCCCCAACTCCGCTGCGTGTCCTCGGCGGGGAACCGCGGCAGGACCGCGGGGCTAGGGGCCCGCGCCTCTCCCGGGCTGTACAAAAAAGTTGAGGCGGGCGCGGGAGGAGGCGGCCGCTGCGGCGGTGCGGCTCGCTCCCCTCCCACACCCTGTCCGGCCGCCTCCCCGCCCCGCGCCTCCCCCGCCGGGTCCCCCCGCGCCGGCCGCCGCACGCAGGCCGCCGCCTCTGCCCCCCGGGTGAAGGAGCGCTTCTCCTTCGTGACATGGTGCAGCGCGGAGGCAGGAGAGCAATGGCGCCGTGACACTCCGTTGCCGCCGCCGCGGGCCGGGCCGGGCCGGGGCGGGCCAAGGGGGCCGAGCGGCGGAGGCGGGGCGCGCGCTAGAGTCGGGGCCCGGCGGGGCGCGGACTCTCGAGGCTGGGGCGCGGGGTTCCGAGTGGCCGGCGAGGCGGGGGCGCGGTGGGCTGTCCGGCGGCGCAGGGGCGGGACACGCTGCCCTTTGGCGCGCGTGGGGCTCTGCTCTCTGCCTGCTGCGCAGCGGCCGCCCGTCGGGGGTCTGCCCCCGGGCCGCGGTGCTTGGTCCCTCCCCGCCGGCATTTGTTTACTTTCTTTCCCCGTCGCACCCCGCCTTGGACTTATCCTTTGCCTCTCTTTCGCCTGCCTGGGCTCTAGGGACCGGGAAGAGAACTCGTGGAAGCTGGAACCCCACAGGTCACCAGTCAAGATGAAGGTAAGTGGAACTAACTCTTCGCAGCCTTGTGCCCTGGACGATGCCAGTCGCGAGGCGGCTGTTGTGGAATGGCAGCTTTTTGTGAACTCGAAATTGATTTCTCTACTAAGCAGCACTTTCAGGAAAATGACGTGTGAATGGGTGGTGTGTGTGTGCGTGTGCGTGCGTGTGTGCGTGTGTGTGTGTGTGTGTGTGTGTGTGTGTGTGTGTGTAAATGCAGGCAGTTCAGCCCTCTCTCTAGCAGTTAGCACTTTGGAAAAGGTCGGTGCAGCCTTTTCGATTCTCAAACACTTCCTGTGTTGGCAGCACCTTTCTAGAAGTAAAGCTTTTGTCCTGCTTTGGTTTCTTGGAGTCTTTTTGTTTTGCTCTTGCTTTTTTTAAAAAAAAAAAATACTTCCCCCTTTCCACAGCCAGTGCCATTTTCTAAAAGAAATGATGTGTATTTTGAGTAAGGGAGATAGTTCTGGATATTTCTTCTTCAGATAAAGTAAATTCAGGTGACGACTGTGTTTAACCTGGTTAGTTTAGTCTTCATAGTTTACCTCGTAAAACATGCATTTCATGGATAATTTTTTGAAGCATCCTAGTCTTACAAACGTCGCTGTCTGCTTGTTTAAAGGGAAAGGAAGTTTTCCTAACATTAGGATCCTGTGGCCCTTGGCTGTTTCTGGTCAGATACTTACTTGCCAAAAAGTATTCCTCTTCAGTTTGTATTCTTTTTAAGTGGACTGACGTCTCAAAGTACATGATCTATGTTGTTCTTACCGTTCTGTGTGCATATGTATGTTACATATAGGAAATATGTAGTTGTTTTTGTCTTTATTGGAGACTGTCCTGCAGCCCAGGCTGGCATGGAACGAGAGCCTCCTGCCTCTCTCCAAGGCATACACAACATACCTGATTGTTAAAGTATGTTACTTTGTGAAATTCTCAAACTTTCTCTCATTCTCTTGTTTTGGAGAGACAGAACTTCCTTTATTATTGCTTGAGAAAATGAAAAATTGTTTCTGACTTAAAATATTTGGCTAAAGTCTACGTTGATTTTTTTTTTGCACTTACAATTTTAATTGAATTGTATAAATACATACAGCTTTTGAAATTGGTAAAATGATAGCCCAAGATAGCAGTCATCTTTTACTGTGAAGGAATTGTAAATAGAGGTTTCTCATATGTTTCAATGTATAATTCTGATCATGATCAGTTTTTTGTAAGTGGATGTTTCTTACTAAAATCTCCTTAAGTATATTGAGAAGATTAATATTGTAAACTGGGTATGGTTATAGTCTTATAGCTATCAGTTTATAAATTCATTCATTAGTTCAATTCAGACTTAAGCCTTTCAGATTGACAACCTCCAGCCAGTGCATTTTCTGGAAGAGTTTCCTTGCTCTGTTGTCTGTAGAGATACACTGTATCAAAAAATACTGCCTTAGCCAGGCTTGGTGGCCCTGGCTTGTCCCCAGATTTAGGAGTTAGAGACAGCCTGCTCCTTGTCTCAAAAGCAAGCAAAAGAAGATGTCGCATTCATGAAGTTGTCTCATTGAATGTTTAATTATGTGTTTGTTAATAGTAATTTTATAGCAATATTTCTTTTAAAACAGAATTACCTGGAGGCCCCAAATTAATAAAATTTATGAGACTTTTAATATAAATACATTCCTTATGTTTTCTTATCTTTCTGTTTCCTATATATTAAATTGTAACATTTTGCAAAACATCTTAAATCATTTTTTTTCCTACCAGCAGTTTCCAAGTGCAACTTTAAACATTTTACAGCATCTGGAAATTAATATATAAAATGAAATAGTGTTAATAAGGTGTCTGCTTTAGGAGTATTCCCTGAATTACCACGGTTAATATGCAAGTAATTTTAATGTTCCAGTGACTTTAAATGTAGACCCTTTGATGCTGTTGGCGGGTGGGATAGGGGAGAACTGTAGTGACATCAGGATTTCCATTCTTTCCTCAGGCGGCAGATGAGCCTGCCTACCTGACAGTGGGAACTGACGTCAGTGCCAAGTACCGAGGAGCCTTCTGTGAGGCGAAGATCAAGACTGTGAAAAGGCTGGTGAAAGTCAAGGTAAAACGCTGCAGACTCTTGAGACAGCCAAGACTTTGGTTGTTGTTGTCCGTGGAAAATAGACAGGTTTATTTGGTGTGCTGCGAGTGACAGAAGGCTGGGCTCCTGTCAAGAGTCACTCCTGTCATGCAGCAGTTTCTTTAAGGACATTGAAGAGATTGCAGTTTATCAGCCTTTCTGTTGAATCAGTGCTGCGAGCAAGCGCCATTATATTCTGAACTTACAAAGTGTATTGAGAATTGAAAGATAAAGGGCTCAAACTGAGAACTGATTCCAGAATATCAAAACACAAGCTGTATTGTCTGAATTGTTCCTGTTCGTGGTAATGTACTTATGCATTGGTCTCTCCTTTTTCTTAATCAGTGACAGTTTCAGTGATTAGGAAGAACAGTGTAGTAAAATTATGTTTTCAAGATAATGTTCAAAGTAATTCCAGGAGTTGAGGTTGTGTGTGTGTGTGTGTGTGTGTCTGTCTGTCCGTCGGTCTGTCTGTGCCATTTTCAGACAAATTCTGGCGATCATCTTGCCTTTGCCTCCTGAATACTAATGACCACGATGAGCCACTATGCCTGGCCCGAAGGTTGATTTTTAAGACCAGACCACAGAAGTTAATGTATTCCTCTATAGAATTTGGAAATACAGGAGGAAATGTAGAGAAAGACAGGTAAATAAATACCTGCAATTTTTCAGAAATCTGTTAACGTATTTTGTTTTTCTGTAGAAAATTTTCCAATCTATATTTTTTATTTTTTTGAGGTGGGGTCTTAGGTAGCCCAGAATGACCTCAAACTCCCTAAGTACCTGGGAATGACTTAGAACTTGATCCTCTTGCTTCCACCCTCAAGAATTAGAGGCATAAGGCACCACACCTGGTTTTTATGGTGCCGAGAATAGAACTCACATCCTCACTCATGCCAAGCTACCTTTACCACCTGAGCAACATCCCCATTCTGTGGTTCTCAGTGTCCTTCTAATGGAAATCCAAGAATATCTGTGTGTATATAAGTATTTTCAGCATTCTAGAGCCATAAAATATAGTTTAAGAAAGTCCTTGCTAGCACTCCAAGTATTTGATTTTATTTCTTAAAGATTTATTTCTTATGTATAAAGTGTTATGCCTGCATGCCAGAGGAGGGCACCAAATCTCATTAGGTGGTTGTGAACTACCATGTGGTTGCTGGAAATTGAACTCAGGACCTCTGGAAGAGCAGCTGGAGTTCTTAACCTCTGAGCCATCATCTCTCCAGCCCCCAAATATTTTCTGTAGGCTTCCATATTCTGTTGTAACTGTCATAACATTATTGTTATTATTGCTGTATCATGTATTACAGTTTGTTTTATGCCTTATTCAGTTACATCTCTGCTTTCTTATCAGAGTTAAATACCATATGAAGCAGAAGACATCTGAAGAGTGTCTGCTCCTGATTCTTACAGTAGTACTTCATATCTTCTGATCACTCAGTTTGTTGAGTGTGTGAGTGAATGAATGGATGAACGAGTGAATGAGCTAGAACATTGATTCTCCGATCGTGGCTCCTAGCGCTGGAGCATTAGCCCTCCTAGGAACTCGTTCACGATGCAGATTCTCAGGACTGTATCTCAAAGCTTCTGAGTGGAACCATCTGCGGGTAGTTTCTGCCCAACCTTAAGGGTTGGGAACATGACTGCTTCTTGCAGGCAACAGACCCAGCTATAGATCCGCTATCAAGCTAGTTCGGGTGCCAGCTGATCTTTATTTCTTCTTCATTTCCTAAAGCCTTTTAACTGTGTAACCCATAAAATTGGACACTGAATATTTGAGAATCTTTGACAGTTTTAACCTTTAAAAAAATTATTGTGACTCTCAGTTTATCTAAAATAATTCAGTGATTGTTTTAGAAAGGCTCATAATACACTTGTTACCTAGAATTTGAGTTACTTGGGGAATTGCTCTGCTGTGACGTTTTCTTGTACGTTTGGTAGCCATGAGGAGCAAGAGTGTTGGAAAGGAATGCTTATTAGTGACTGACTTGCTTCTGAGTATCATAAGAAGTTTGTTTTGTTTTGTTTTGTTTGTTTTTTGAGACAGGGTTTTTCTGTGTGTAGTTCTGGCTATCCTAGAACTCACTCTGTAGACCAGGCTGGACTCAAACTCACAGAGATCTGCCTGCCTCTCTCAGCCTTCCATGTACTGTGATTAAAGGCATGCAACACAGGCCTAACCTCATAAGGCTTAAGGACCATGAGAGCTGTTTTTAAGTAGGCAATAAAAAGTGAAGGGTTTTAAAAATATTTTGTGACAATCAAAACCTTTTATGACTTGATAAAATACACTAGAAGAAGTTTTACATCTTTGTAGTATCACTGGGTTATAAATCTATAGTTTGTTCATTTGGCAAGCAGTTATTAAATGGCTGTAATATGCACTGACACTTGCTGACTACCAGGGGGATAGTAATGAAAGAGGGCTCCAGCCCTCAAGGAGCTCACAGTTAATGAGAAAGAAAATAAACATAAATACAAGACACTGTAATAACTGTTACGCCAGAGGTAACCACAGGGTATTAAGGAGGCATCTGCAGTGTTACTACAGAGGCATTGTTTAAAAAGTAACTGAGATTGTTTTGTTTTCCAGGTGTTGTTGAAACAGGATAACACAACACAGTTGGTGCAAGATGACCAAGTAAAGGGTCCCTTAAGAGTACGTATGTCGAACAGTTCAGAATCAGAAATAATGAACAGGCAAATGCCATAGTTTATCAAACTTTCCATTAGTACATACACTTATGTTTTTATACAAATGTTTAA